CCTGTCTCTTATACACATCTAGATGTGTATAAGAGACAGCCATAATGGTGGTCGAGTAGATCATGTTGTGCGGGGTCGAGAACCCTTACTCCGCGCAAGGGGGATGATCGCACTACGTTTGTGTTAAAATGGTCGAGCACCCTCCAGGCAGTTACACAGTGCTTACAACTGTCTCTGGAAGTGAANATGGGTTCCCACCCACCCCCTGTGTTGCACCCCCCCGATGAGGCCATCGGTGATCGATCCTGTGGGAACAATGCTCTGTCCTCTCAAGGACTCATGGTCAAAGGTTTCACAACTAAGGCATGCGAAGCACGAGTACGCCACCCCCCCCCCCCCCCCCTCCCCCGAATACACCAGTACATCTTGCCAGCCCGGCGCACGTTCAACATCTTGGCAGAGGATATTAGGCTAGACCGCCGGGAAAGGTAAGCAAACCTGTCGCGTGGTTGTACAGGGTCTATTGAATCTTGATGTCTCCGTTCAATATGGTGCGCTTCAATGCATGGCAGGTAGTGCGCTTTCATGGAGAAGCGAATGTCGTGCCAATTATTACATGAGGTTCGCGGACGTATCTACATTCGGTGTTTTACGACAGGGAAGTGGGGGTGTAATGACCACCACAGTTTTCCCCCGCGGTGTTAATGTTTCCAGTGTTTTTCGTTTCATGTGCTGCCGCTTGTTGTTGCGAATACGTTGAGTACACGAGTCTCTGTCGGACTGGAAAACAATTCTTCGTCCCTTTTGACAGTGGTCGACCGCAAGCAAGGTCGACGGGAAACCAAGATTATGGTTGATAGCCGGCCTCTGAAGTATTTTGTTCTTGCACGCCGGTTCCGCTGCTTCTTTTCGCTAGCAACGCTGTTCCTTGCAACGCATCCCAGGTTGACTACTCCACACCTTGATTCTGTGTTTTGTTTCCATCTCGCCATCATTTCGTCGATGGACACCCCTCTTGACAGCATGCATCCCTACAAAATTATTGCTTTTTTCCTCGCCGCGCAACGACCACACGCGCAACCACGCAAACAGTGTCGGCCTGTTTGGAGTAAATCCCCTTGCTCACTTCGGGGCAACCAGCAGGCCACCAACGCTAGGTGTTCCCTTCGAGTTTCGGGACGTTCAGTCGATGACAACACACCTCGAACTAGTGCAACCCCGCACTAAAGATGTTGTCAGAACTTCTGTTGGAAAAGTTTTGTTAGGGTCTTGGTTTTCAACCACCGGGCTGTGACTTTACTGCGAACTTCGTGTGATCCTCTTGCCCTGGATGACACGACACCCTGCAACAGGGGAGAGTTTCAGCTGACGTCCGTGTTGGACCGCATGAGGGAACAAGACGGCGGCATGCTAGGCTGCATCATTCACGGAGACGCGTTGGACATGGGAATTCCAAACCCATACGTGAACACCATGGGCGCATTCGCCAAGCCGCACAGCAGCAGTGCTTGAGACTCACTCACCGCGGTTGAATGGGGGGGGGGGGCGCTTAGGAGAAGGGAAGGAATTTTCCTCGACGGGGGGGTCTTGCCACGGCGTATTCATTACATGTGGCGGTGTTTCCGTGTTTTTGGTGTCATACGGTGTGGTGAATTGAGACAAACGCCTCCAGGATGTATGACAGTTGTAACCTTTTTAAATAGCTATTTTCATCGCCCTGGGTATTTGTTTCCCGGGCGGTCTTGCCCCTCTGTCGGAAGAGCTCCGACCCGCGGCCCAATATCACTTTCTTATGCAATGCATGCCTTCATTTATTATCGCGAGGAGGGGTCAGCAGTCCCCTACCTACGGTGCACTCGTTAACAAGCACTTTCATTTGTGGAAGGTGCGAGATGCAGGGAAAAGCGCATGTTTTCAGAGATTGTTAGTGTTCCTTCGGAGATGAATAGCAATACGTCAGACATAGTTTGTTAGTGGGAATGCCATGTGATAACTATTGTTTGCCTTGATCTGTTCCGTTTGAGCGAAGCGATTGCTTTTCCGGACCAGCGACGCCGACGAGGCTCCAGCTACCCAGTTGGCGTTGTCCCGCCCCAACCCCCGCCTTTCGAGTACATTGGTAGCTCTCGGTCAAGACGGGTATCTATTCAGGGATGGTTTACCTGTTCTACACGTGAAGTTGGAGGTGTTGAGCGCGAAGTGGCATATGCACACAAAGTATTTGGAATGCGGCCTAGGTAGCAGCCGCGAGGCTGTGTTTCTGTTTTTTTCTGTTTATGGGGTTCGCGATAGCATTCTTTTGATTTCACCTGTGCTTTCCAGCTTAATACCTGGGACGTTGTAATGTATTGCCGGCTCTCGCTTTATGTGTTGGAGAACCGAGGAGGGAAAATATGTGTGCTGCGTTGTGGCCACTGAACACAATCGACCGCCGTGCTAGGAGCATAGTAAGCGCTGGCAACTCCGTGAGTGCCACTAGGCTGCACGCTGTAGCTTGAAGGCAAGGTCCTCTTGGCGGGTTGTGGGCACACCGTCAGTAGGTTATGTTGGAGATGTCGCGTATCCACGAAAGCGACTAATTGTAGCGGGTAATGCACCATCGCGGTCTGGGAAGGATGAGAATCGGTGGGTTTTCGTCTGTTTAGCCTGTTTAATCTCGGAAACTACAGTCAAACTTGGGGGTGCTATAAAAAGATGAGGAGATTGCGTCAGAGAAGCGGCAGGCCAACGCGCAGGGGTGGACGCCTCAGTTGGGGCGGCTTCGCGGAAAAGGGTGCAATCACCACAACCCCCTGTGTATCATGTTTATTAAGTACCCTGTTGGTATCCTCTTTTGCGAATCCCGGCGAGGATGTGGGGTCAATGTCCGCAACTGTGTTTAGAACTGCTCTCGGCAGCTGTTTTGGGAGATCAATCTGATCATTCTCTGTGTTGTGATCGAGACACAAGTCGTCATAACAGCACCGTGGAATAATACATGACTGGATAGCATCTGGAGTACGTCTTGCCATCCTGTGGACGAGGATACAGCTGTAGATGGGAGATGGTCAACCGGCAGCACATACGACTTCCATCATGATCGCTATTTTACAATTGAATTTCGGAGCACCTCTTCCGCTCTACAACAACCACAACTTTGTCCAAGCAAGGACGATGTTCCGGAAGAACACCGACTGTATGTAGACTATCGTAGTCGACGACGAAGTGCCAGGTGTGTTGAAAAAAGGCCTTTCACCACAAACCCTCCAGGAACATCCTAACTGCGTCGTACGTAACGGCTACTTCCGACCTATCTTTCCACGCACGAATATGGTGTAGTACCTATCACAGCAAACACCCCGCTTGCTGCCACCATACAGTGCATTGGTAGCTCTCGCCGGCGGCGCGAAACGCTCCCTGACCGACGACGACGACGAGTGGAACTTTCCCGTCAGGTACCGCATCAGACCCCGCGCTTGTTGGTTGGGGTTCCACCACCTGCGGCTCCTCATAGTCCCTCTTCGTCCAAGTTTGTCGACAACTGTTGAGTAGGGAGCACCAGGGGGTCCGTCATCGCTTCTCCTCCGCCGTTTGCGTCTGGGTCGGCACGACCCTCGGACGGCAATATTTTCTTGTTTCTGCGATCGCGTCTCCGTCTGCTGTTGTTGCCGCCTTCTTGTTCTCTGCTGTTCTTGTCCCCCCTGTTCCCTTTGCTGCCTCTGAATATTCTCCACGCGGCGCTACTGGGGCGACTGCGGCTACTATCACCGGCAGTGGCGTTGCCCTCGGCCGCATGTTCTTCCGGCTGGTGGTGCTGACCACCATCGTCACCGGTTGGTGATATTCTCGTTGTTACTGTTGTCGCCGCCGCCGTCGTCCGGCCATTGTTTGTCGCTGTGCTCTCATTTTCTGCAAGTTTGTGACCGTGGCTATCGCCGGCGTTGGTATTGCTCATTAAGAGCGTGTTGTTGCCCCGTAATTGGCCGGAGCCCCTCTTGCTCCAGGGTGGTGATTTGCCCCGACCAATGCCCCCCGAAGTTACCGACCTACCAGGGCTTCGGGTGCTGGTCACCCTGACAGCACTCAACGCATTGCCCTTTTGCGTCGCTTCTTTCTGGACTTCCGGGGATATGTTTTCGTCCTGCGACAGAATAGAGGAGGGAGGGAGGAAGCATACTCATGTTTGGATACCTTTCGTATAGGCCATCGATCACATGGGCGGGGGGGGGGG